TAAGGTTTGTGATCCAATTTTATTGGCTACCTTGATTATGCAAATGCTAACTGTGTGTTTTGATTGCTTGCAGATTTATTGGGCATCAATGTGGAGAATTGTTAGGTTTTTTATACCCAATAAATCTCGGGCTATGATATTAATGTGTGTTAATATTATTTCATAGGCATAGGCCGATGAATAAAATAAGTCTAACAACCAAGTCCATGAGTCACACCCGATCTAATTGTATTCCCTCTTGGAAGACTTGAATCTTGGTCCTTTTACCTCTTTAAAGGTCCAACTTAATGCCTAACCCTAGAGTGTATATATATGGATATAACCCTAGCCACTTTCTAATGGTGTTTTGTGTGGTTTTGAGAGAAAAATTAAGGAATCCCGGCTGCCCCCTTTTGTTTGTGAAAAATAGCTTCTAGAAGTGTCTAAAACGTTTGTGTAATGTGTGCAATTGGTGGTTCATTCATAGTATACCTTTGTGCCATCTTCTCCTAGCCTTTGTGGCCACAAATCATTATCATTTCTTGTCATACGTGGGTAAGATTGAATAGCAATCGAGGAGAATTAATTGATTGTGGTTTGGAGTTGATTGGACTAGTTGTTGGTTGAGAAAGGTGCGTTAGACTGAGCCCGAAAATCACCGATTTGAAGATCTTTCAAGAAAGCTTCCGCAACAGTATAGACTATGGCATATAGATCTAACACGTTATTGGCCATTTACAGATTTTATTAGAACCTCACGCACTAGCATAATGATTGATTTCACAAGAGGGAATAAATCTACCCTCACAGGAAGAAGAAAATGATTACAGACACACACACACAACAACAAAAAAAAGTTGCTAGGGTTAGGGTTGAACCTGCTCTGATACCATGTTATTAAAGAATTAGTCCTATATAAGGTAAATAACTATACAAGAAATAAAATATAAATTAGTCTACAAATTAGGAACTAATTTTACTGACTTAAACACTTCCTAAAATATAGCTAATTTAGGTAATTTCATATATTACATTGTTAATAGGTTAAAAGGTATGGACCTAACATAGAGTTAAAGTACTCATGACCATTATCGATACCAAGAATATGTATTTTGGTCTAGAATTGGGTTTCAACCATTGCATAAAACTTTTGAAAAACAATGGTACCTTCAGATTTTTCTTTTGAAAGGAATACCCAGCACACGTATATGATCATCAATAAAATTGATAAACTATTAAGACCTAGAAATGTTTGTTATCCGCGAGGAACCTAGATATCACTATGGATTAATGAAAAATGTTTAAAAGTTTTATATGGTTGGATGGTGTTCATGAAAATATCTTTCGAATTAAAACCATTGGAAGTGAATGATTCGTTGACAGGTAATTAAGTGGATTTTGAGTCCAAGTATTCTTCCCACAGGGATTGTACTAATTTAAATTCAAATTATTTAAACGTTAGCCGAAACTATAAATTTTTTTGATTTTTCTAAAATTAAATTGTTATCATTTAAATTATGGATGAATACAGGACCTAAATTAATTAAAATCAATGCAAGGTTATAACTAAATATAAGTTTTATAAAAATATGCTGATAAAGTGTGTACTAGAATCCGAATCCCCTTTAACACTGAATTTTATAAATTTGACAACATAATTCAATAATGAAGATCAATATTTCTAAATTGTTTAACAATCTCTCTTAACAGAATTAAACCTATTTTTACATGTAACTCAACTATATTTCTATGACAGATGCGTACATATTAAAATGCTTAATGGATTTGTGAATATTTAGATCACGTAAAGTATAACGATATATTTCTATCCCAGATCGAACTTTACGTCAACTGGCACTATCTCTAACTTATTTTACATCTTTCGAGGAAAAAACAAGCCACAAAACTCATACAACTATTACGCATATAATTGTAGAGAAAATTAAATTCATATCAATCATTCAATAATTGAAAACATATTTTAAACGTCAAAATAAATAAAATTAAGATTTAAACATTCATAATATAAGGTTCATCGTAAATCTTAGCATAAAATAATTTAGCCCGGCATATTGTTGGAATTAAACAGAGAAATGATAAAAGATATCACCAAAAATCAACTGAATGTAACTAATTCCTCAATTTCGTATTTTCGTTGTCTTATTCTTTTTCTTTCTTTGTTTTTCGCAGGCTTTGCGCGTTTTTGTGTGTATATAATTCAGCCCCTGTTTGCTTAGATATATACCTCGTAGCCGCCAATGTTATCTTTTTGTCTACGTGTATGTTTATATTTTTCCCTTTAATCTTGGCTGCCGTTTTGCATGTATTTATATTCAATTCAATTCCTCATACAACTGCCCCTTTGCTGCCTCTTCAGTCTATGTTTTCTGTTGGTATATATATAAAGAGTTATGCGATTTTACCAGATTGATTTTACTAGAATTGTGTCAGGTTAACACTTGGCAGCATTTAATTGGTAGTTAGAAAATGTATTTGGGCCAACTACCAATGAAATGCTGTCAAGTATTAATCCGGTACAGTTCTTGTAAAATCAATCTGATAATATAGTATCTAAAATGTCATAGATGAGCCATTAAAAGATCTAGTCTATGAAGTTAAACTTGAAAGTTTTGATGACTTGGATGATAGTGAGAATACTTAGTTGGAATCCAGACTCTTCCTAAGACTTTAGATACTATACCCTATGCGTCCAACACCTCTCCATTACGTGTTATATGTCATATCCTTACCCAATCCAAAGAGCCTAATGATTTTACTAGTCACTTTTGGAGAACTCAGTCGCCTGTGGTTAGCACTAAATTGGAATTCTCCACTGCAGACCAACCTCAGACTGATGGTCAAAATGAAGTTGTTAACCAAAGTTTGATAAAATCCTACATCGATTAAAGATGAAAATATAGACAAATATATAAGGTCTTGGGTTACTCCTCTTAGCAAGGTTGACATTTTAATATGGAACCCCAAATCTTAACATGGAGCCTTTACTTAACCCGTGATGTGATCGAGCCTCCCCTTGCCGTCGATGACCAGCACAGCGGATTGGGACTACTCTACAAAATTTGATCCATTTAATTTCGTTGGACTGATTTGCAGCAATCAAGAATCAGTCGGATTGTAAAGAATCGCCTGAGTCGTTGAGTTTGCCGTGTCGAAGAGACTATCGAAATACCCTGTTGGTTCACCACTCATGGCCGGAGTAGTCATTAAAACTGGTCGAGGTGGCCCAGCTTTGATACCACGTAAGAGGGAGGGAGAGAGAATGAATATTTCGGATGATTATATAAATTAGAAAATGATCCCCTTTAAAAAATAGAGGAGAATAACTGCAACTAAGAGCAATTTAATCCTTACAAACCAGTAACTAATCCCGCGGAATAAGGGATTTGAATTTAAAATAAATACAACGTGATTCTACTCCTAAAAAACCTCAATCAAATCAGTAATTAATTTACAAACAGCTAATCTTCAAAATATTTCAACAATAAGCAATAGTCTGATTCACTAGAACTTGCAAAATATGTTAGGGACAAAAATATATTCTTATGCAAAACCTCTCCACATTCTAATTATGGAGGTAAGGACTATATCCCCTCCCTCGTACTTTATTCTAATTATTTTACGTCAAGCCTCCACCCATGCAAGGGTGGTGTTTGAAGAGAAAAAGAAAAATACATGTAAAGTATTTTTAGCAAATTGATGATTTTTTTCGACAGTCAAATTGTACTGGAAAACTCAGGATTCAGATGGCATTAAAATGGCCTTCAATTTCGTTTCACACCAGTGAAATTAGTACAAACTACAGATAGATGCCTAGTCACAGGATATCNGAGAGGTCGATTCCATCCACCATGATCTTCCCACCCACGGGCTCCACCAGACGAAACAAGGCACTGATGAGAGTAGTCTTCCCACTGCCAGTTCGGCCAACAATACCAATTTTGTGTCCTCCTTCAAATGTGCAACTAATCCCATGTAGAACAAGTGGCATATCATGCCTATATTTAATCTGCTTTTCAAATTAAGTGAGTGAGAACATATATTTAATCTGCTTTTAAAATTCAAGCAACATTTACCTGCAAATCTTGAATATCCACTTTACCCTTGGTTGGCCAGTTCACAGGGGGACGGTTCTCTTCTAACACTGGAGGAGCCTCGCTTGGTATGTCCATATACTGGTGGATCCTTTCTGCCGAAACAATTAAGTTTGATACCTGGCATTGAAATTGAATCGAAAATACAATGGACGTAGTTAAAGGCAGACCATAGGCTAAAGCCATTCCGACAAAACCTGCAAATATTGAAGTGTTCAAGGTTATATCTTCAGAAGGAATAGAATGATGAACACCAAACAGGATTAGTGTATTTTTTCTGATTCCGTAATACGAACTGACGTATCAGTGATCTCTTACCCGGGCTCAAAGTTCCTGGGGGAAGTAAAACCATGCAGAGAGCTGAGGAGGCAAGAACCGCAGCAGCAAGTGTTTCTAGCCTTTGGATTAGCCACTCATTTGCTGCAAAATTGTGGAAGAAAGGGCTGGCGTTTGCGTCAATGAGATCAAGGTTCTTGGCAAAAAAACGATCTTCCTCTTTAAAAGCTCTTATTATAGTAGCTCCAGCTACAGATTCTGCTAGATGGTTCGCTACGAAAGATTTAGTGGTGCCATTGATCCGCATCAACGCTTTAGCAGATGCAAGGTAGTACCTCTGTAGGTGGGATAGTTAATATTGCTCAAGTAGATGAAATTTCAAGGAAAAAAGAGAAAAATGAAGACAGTTTCCTAAGCCGCTTGTAAACAATTTTTCATGTAGTACGTAAATTTCTGCCTTTTAGAGACAGTGGTTTTCTCTCTCGCTCTCTCTCTTTTTCCTTGTAAAGCCTTATATACTGCTCAATTGTTCTTATAAAGTTGGGCAGTTTACATGTAGTATTTTTACGACAATGATCGTTACCTGTATGCAAATAGTGAGAAAGACCATAGGTATGGCGACAAATAAAACTTGCCAGGTAGCAACAGCTACCACAGCAAGATTAGAATAAAAATTCGCAGTCGTTCCAACAGCTACCATCAAGACAAAGGGAACATCAAGATCCACGAGACTCAAATCCAAAGAGACCTGCAGGGATGAAATTATATTATAGACATGAAAACGTTAGTTTAATGATATCTTCAAGCCATGAAATATTTACCCGGTTCAGTATTCTTCCCAAAGGCGTGGAATCATAAAACGACATGGGGGCACGAAATAAAGAATTTAGGAGCTGTGAAAATATTGATTTGGAAGACTGCTTGCCTAAAGCAACCATTAAGAGGGACCTACAGAGCAAAAACAAACTCGATACAATTCCAATCAGCAAGTAAACGACAATCAACCTCAATGTGCTAACATTTGGATCATCAACATTTGCAGCCATCCAAGAGTTCTGTAATATCTGACCAAGCAAGAATGTAACGTGAAAGAAAGCAGCCGAGAAGAAGATCAAAAAGCCTTTTTCATGATTTAAATACAGAATGTAGGGCCTAAATCCAGTGTCCCCAACTTCCCTTTCTTCTTCCTTTATCAACTGATCATGTCCAGATTTTTCCTGTTTATTCTCTGCATAAGTTTTGCGAATCTCTCCAGAAGAAACTTCATGCCTTTTTGGAGAAACCTTCTCAAAAACTTCTGTCTCTTTGTGTGCATTAACAAGGTCCCAAAATTTTTGGCTTGAGGACAGCAACTGAGAATAAGGACCAGCATGCAAAATTTCCCCATCTGACATCAACTGTTACAAAGAGTAGACAAATTATTAATATTTGTTATTATGATAAAAAAAAAAAAAAAATTTATCAACCACTTGATTCAATCATGATATTAGGTAAAGAAACTGGAAATTTACATAATAATGAACATAGTATCTTAAGCATAAAACAGAATGTCTGACGAAAAAACTAACCAAGATAGTATCAAATGAAGAGAGGAAATCAACTTGATGTGTCACAAGTAAGACAGTCTTCCCCGAGAGGGCTCCCATGACGTATTCCTGCCGAGATTAAGGACAGTTTAATCAAAACTAGAAAGAAATAAAGCAGAAAATAAAAACTTTGTACGGGACCTGACATTGGGCCATCTTGTAGATTACCTTAGGATAAAAAATAAAGAAAATCTTTATGTTATTAAAAATTATCTTACATTAAAGAGGCTTGTAGCAGTGTGTGCATCAACGGCACTGAAAGGATCATCCAAAAGATATATATCAGCATTCTGATACAGCGCACGAGCAAGTTGAACCCGCTGTTTTTGACCACCACTAAGATTGACTCCTCTTTCTCCAATTTCAGTAAGATCACCATATGGTAACAGCTCAAAGTCCTTTACTAGTGAACACCTCTCTATTGTATCTCGATATCTCTTGTTATTCAATGCAGATCCGAAGAGAATGTTTTCTCGAATAGTTCCTGTCTGAATCCATGCTGATTGAGAGACATAGGCAATAGTTTGGTACACCTGGACCTGATAAATATGAAAGGGACAAAGATTAATCAGGCAGTTGTCCAGCTAAACCAGAAATCCAAATCATTGGCAGACTTCAGGAACTTGGCTATTTAGTGTATACATGATATTGAAAGATAATGAACATTGGTTTTTTTTTCAATTACCGAATTGAAATGAATTGAAAAGTAATGGCATGTTAGGTAGGGAGGATTGGATTGCACTAGAATATATTAAGTAAATGGCATGTTTGTTCATTATTCTTTCTAATTGTGTCGAGTACTCTATACCAAACATGCATAAAAACTTACAGTTCCTTGGGTAACTGGAACCTCTCCAAGAATTGCTGCAAGGAGTGTGGACTTGCCGGAACCCACCTCTCCACAAATGGCAATCTTCTCGCCTGGTTTAACCTCCAAATTAATGTTTCTAAGTGTTGGCTTCGATTGATTCTCACTCCATGACAGATCAGCCGACTTAATAAAAATGCTATGGTTTGTATCATGTACAATGGACTTCACCCTGACATTTGCAGTTTCCAGCTCAGGTGCTTCAAGAAACTTCAAAATCCTGACATATGAAACTTTAGCTTGAATAACCACTCCAATAACATCAGGAATAAGTCGAATAGGTTCCTGAATCAGACGCAGCGTTGCTACAAATGTGAAAACGTTACTAGCAGTTAACGGGATGCCAAGAAAATAGCAGGCCCCAAAGGTAGCTGTAGAGACTAAAATAGGGGATGACCAGAAAAGGAAGACATTATACGCTTTGCACAACTGGACAGATGATAACCATTTCTCTTCAGTTTGCCTTAAATTTTGTATTTCGTGCTTGAAATGAGTTTCCCACGCGTATAACTTTAACACCTTCATGTTCACAATAGCTTCTGAAATAGCCTTCAGTCTTTTATCCTGTGCCAACATGAGCTTCAATTGAAACTTATGCTGTAATTTTGCTAGGGGAACATTGCAAACGACAGTGAGAATTATTACTACGAGGGACGCAATCGTTGCAAGCCCTACAGCACGGACGAGAATAATGAGTGCAAGGCCAAGCTGGAGAATTGGCGTCCATGATTGATGGAACCAATAAGGAAACTCTCCAATCCGATATGCATCAACATTGACATAGTTCATTATCTCACCATTTGAATGCATCAGTTTAGCGGCATTAGATAATCGAAGTTGTTTCTCGTAAACGGCTGCTATGAGTAAAGATCTCACCTTAAGACCAATTAGTCTCATCCTGAAGTACCACTGTCTTTGAGATAATGATTCAATGATCTTCGTAAAGAAAAGTATCACAACCAATAAATATCCCTCGTATTCAAAACTCGCTTTTCCTTCAGCAATCTTAATGAAGGCATTTAGAAGCAGAGGACCAGCAGAGAGAGTAGTAGTCTTCAGTAGTGCAAAGAACCCTGCAATGAATATATCTTTCCAGTGGCACAACAGTAGTGTCTTTAAGATTGAGGGTTGGGCTGATCGATCTATTTGTTTACGTTTGTTAGATTTCTCCTTAAATAGCAAGTAACATGACTGCGCTCGATCATCCTCGTGCAACTTGGGTAAATCCTCATCATCAAGAGTTTTCTCCCTTCCACTTTTCATCAATGGATTCAACCACCAAAACGACATTTTACTCCAAAAGCCAGTTTTTGCAAACAGAGTAACAGGACGAGTTTTACTGCTGCAATTGGCAGCAGCAACCAATGGAGTACGAATATCGTTTTCATCGCTATCTTCGCATTTGTACTCCTTACAAGCACATAATAACATCAAACCAGATCCTATAAAACACAGTATATCTAAAACAATTTCGATCGACATCCCCTTTTCAAGAATAACATGATTAAGTGACAAACCACAAGTAATTCCAGCAAACAGGAATGCTAGAATGGACAACGTCCTCAACAGTATTCTTGGAAAATGCCAACCCATAAGGCTCACAAATAAGCTAATCATCAACCATATTAGTCCATGAACCATGAACATTATCCACCAGTTTAGAGGTAGAAGAGCTTGAGTTTTCCTCATGTTCTCTTCTAAAATCCAGATTCCTAGAGACAAATTAACCACTCCAATGATACCATTATAAATGGCTGCAATTATTCGCAAATTTGAAATGCGATCAAAGGCAGGCGTATGATGGGATTTTAATGCTGTCTTGGAAAACACAGTGAACAAGAACATGATAACGAGGAGAATATCGAAAAAAATTACTAACATGTGATTGATACACGAAGAAGGGCGTGTCACAAAGATCAAAGAAACACCACAAGGGATATCATTGCCGTCTAAACAATCAGATGCCCCGCAAAACACTGTCCGAAGATCTTCCATCTCTCCTTCCCTTCGAAACTTGGAAATCTGAATTACATACAGCAAAACCAATTGACATCAACAAGTAAATACAACACTTTTCTGGGATTCTTGGTAGAAGAAGTTTCAACTAAGAGAGACTTCTTCTCTATAGCTTTCTCACTTGCCTAAGTTTTTTTCTTGGCAGGATTCAAGAGTAAAATACAACATCAGTTTTCGAAACTAATTGGTGATAACTTTGCTATCTTTGAAATATATAAACCACCACCTCCTCGATTTATGAAAACTGTAAATATATCAAACATTTTACGGATCAATCATGCTATGGGTACATTGTGGTATCCAACTGGATGTCCAAAATGGACACCCGGCGCCTCAGCCAATGCCGAGGCGCCTGCCACGACGGGGCCACCGAGGCGCCTGGTGTCCCTTTTGGACACCACGGTGTACCACAAACATTATTCTTTACGGAATTTGGCTTTCGCTTGACGATGTGTGTTGATGACTAAATTTAAATAAATAAACGCATCTCTTATTTAACGATTTAAACTTTTAGATGAGATGCTTAATTATAAGTTCATCACAATCTTGCTAAATCTCACTTATCAGATCTCTTGGCCAAGTGCATTTGTAGGGATCATAATACCTATGCGCATACTTTAAGCAGAGAGTAAATAATAAGACTAGCAAATCAAACTTAATTAGATGGTTCAACAAAAAAATTGAAGAAAGCTTTTTACTTGTTCGTCGTCTTCCTTTTTTTTATTTCATAAAATAATTGACGAGAATGACAGTATACTATTTTATACGTTCGATTACTTGCCACATCTCTTTACAGGAATATTTCCTTCAAAAAAACAATCGAGCAGGTGGGAGTCAAATATTTAAATGCAGACTTGAAATATCTACCATGAATGGCAAGTGACAATGAATATTAATTTAAGTACATTGGTTGCCTGCTCGCAACTAAGAACAAGTTGACAATCTGAAACTCAAGACAAAAACATAATTCAACCTGAAACATGTGTGTTCATATTTTCGGAAAATCAGCAATGAATACCCATGCAAGAATAATAAAGAAAATTAGTTTGGCCATGCTTAGGGTTTTTTCTTCACAGTAATCATTTTTAAGCAAAACCAAACATGTAAAAAGCTTCGGTTGTGTAGAGGTTAACCTGAGAAAGACTAGTTGTCGTCGAAACCCTGCCGTTTCTATTCTATTAGACGTGGAAAACTTGTGTTTTGCTGCAAGAATTCAAGAGTAAGTGTTTGTAATTTCTTTTTGTAAGAATATGATCAAATCATTTAATATATATCAGCAACTGATTGAAAGGTCTTTTGGAAGCATGTTTTATGAAAGGTACGTGTGTTTTCATTTATATGGCTGCAAAATTAATGTGTCAGGATGGCTGGAAGTTGGTGATATTGATGGCTAATTACTCACTTGCCTTTTTTATTTTTTATTATTGTTATTATTATCAACAAGATATAAGTGCTCTTCATTTAAGTTTGATTGAAACTATTTACTATTTAGTCGCATTATTGTAATCCAACTTGATCACATTAAATATTCATCTTAATTCATTCTATTTCATTAGAACAGGTCTAACTCCCCTAAAAAATGTCAAGCCAAAACATTTTGTTCAATCAACAGTTTCTTTAGTCTTATAAGCGATCATTTAGGGGCCTTATTATGAGTGTAAGAATATGATTTTAACCTTTGGTCATGAAAATGAAGAAGAAGAAGAAGAAGAGAAGCATATATTACCAATCTAGCTCCAATAAAGAATGTCAGCATGAAGAAAATTTGTTTCTCCCTACTTGACTTTTGTATACGAGTTCTAAGCCTTCCAATAGTCATTTATAGTTTTTGTTATCAACAACCTAGAAATAGGTTTAATGCTTCGTCTCATGCTACTTTGATAAGGCCAACCATTAGGGTTTGAAAACAGATGCTGCGTGTCAGCACTTGTTTGCTCATCTTTTTTTTTTTTTAAATTGTCCAACTAATACATGACATGTGTTCCCGGGATTCAAACCCTATTGGCTACTCTTGATTATATAGCATTGCTCTTCATGCTTATGGTAAAGATGAGTAAACAGGAAAAGTTGTTAGTTGTTACTTTAGACGGGGATTCTCTTTTTTCAATTATTCCCCGTATTAAAATCATTGGCTTAAAAAAAAAAAAAAATTTAATTAATTTCATTGAGCACATGGTAGTAAATCATATACTATTAAAAAGATTCCCACGCATTAAGTAATTAAGACAAATTTGTCCCATCTACTTTCTAAATGATACAACTACTTTTGCAAAGTTGTGGCACTTTATTGGAATGTGTAAAATATAGTACTTCGTCAACCTACTACCATTATTCTCGGTTCTTTCAATAAGGCCATGTTTGTATGAAATTTGATTTCCACGCTGAGCCCCAGTTTGTTTTTCATTATTTATCTATTAAAATGAAAAATATGATTATTATCCATCATATCAAGTCACACATTAAAAAAAATGTGATTGAAATGATGTCAAATCATTGTTAAAAAATATATTTTTTTCAAATAATGTGACTCAAACAAGGCCATAATTCTTTTCGTGCCACATCGTCTAAAAACTCGAGGTAATAGAGATTAGAGAGTGGACATATTATTCTTAATTTATGTCTTTAATATGGCACCTCTCATGTATGTAAAATTCATACTTTTTATGAAGCGTACTTAAGTTTTTTATAATATATAACGTTGATATTCCTCCTTCGAAATTTTAAACCATTAGAGTGTTTACAAATTTATTTATCTAAATATGTTCAAAAATGGAATAATGATAACTAGCACTGTCCTAGAATTCCAATTTAGCTAGCATTACACAATAAGTTCAACTAAAGAAATGTGAATTAGATTAATGTTCAAGCATCAGTTCTGCTATTGCTAAGAGCCTGTTTGGGAGTAATATTGAGAATTGATTTTTTGACCGTTAAGAGAAAAGTGGGGTCTACCTATGAAAGAAGAAGTCAAATATGACAGCTGGAATAGTGAAATAACGGTCAAAAAATCAATTTTTTTTGGTGAAAAAATCGGGCACAAACAGGCTCTAAATAACAGACTCTCCAAAATAAACTTTTTTCGTGAAATTAGATTCTACTTTGTCATTATCAAGTCTCTGTCGTGGATTCCTGGCGACGGCACAACCACAAACAGTGCCTCGGTCAGCCATGTCACTATAACTTAGTGAAGTAAATGATGAAGCCTGCTATCTTTCCCACAATGCTGTAGCGGTCCATTCCACCAGTTGGGCTTCAAATATTTAATGTAGCCATGAATTATAAACCATAAATGTCAAGTAAATGAATACTAGTAATGGTTGCATGCACGCAATCAAGGACATCTAAATTAGCTGATATTCTGAAACTCGACAGCAACGTAAATCGGCCAGAAACATGTGTTCTCTTGTTGTACGAAAATCAGCAATGAATACTTATACTGGTCCCACACAAGAATAATGAATAAAATATTTAGTTTAACCGTGCTTAAAAGCAGTTTCGTAACGATTTTTTTTGACAATAAGTAAAGATCTTACTTTTAAGCAAGACCAAACACGTAAGAAGCTATGGTTGTGTAGAGACTAACCGGAGAAAGACTAAGAATCTCGGGAATGTTGTCGAAACACAGCTGTTTCTATTCTATTTAAGATTGAAAACCTGTGTTTTGTTGCACGAATTCAAGAATAGGGGAGTATTTTTTATTGTATTTTTATGAATACTGTGACACCTAAAGCTCCATTTCGATTTAATACTTATTCAATAACTTCCTTTTTGGCAATTAGCTATACACCTAAATGCCGTTCACAGTTAGATATTTATTTTTATTAATTTTTTATTTAATAATTAGGTGTGTTGTGTGTGTTACATCCCACCCATTTTTAATCAAAGTCAAGCAAAGAAATTGGTCAAAGTCAATAAGGACTTAAGTTGAACAAATAATTTTTATGGGGGCTTAATTTGTAATTACAAGAACCTTAGGGATTTAGTTTCTATTTATTGGAATTAAAGGAGTAAATGGTATATTACATGAAGTGTGGGGACTTGATTTACAATTCTATCATACTTATCCATTTAAAACCTTAAAACATATCCATTTTCTCTCATTTTGGGGCCAAAACGTAGAGAGAAAGCAGAGAACGAAACTGGATAAATAGAGGGAGAAAAAGAAAGGAAAAAGGAAGAAACGAAAGGAAATGAAAGAGGTTGATGATTTTTGTAAGTTTGGGTTCTTTACTTCTTCAACGTACTTATTTTAAAGTGGTAGAGACATGAAAGTTTGGAATGGCTTGTTGCCAGATTTCTATCCATGGATCTGTGAAGGGAAAAATATAAATATTTTTAAAATATTTATGAATTAAGTATATTATTAAAGTATGTGCAATTATGTGTTCGAATTATATGATTATTATAAAATTATCTTTTATTATGATACATGTGAACTTTCAAAGGTGGTATAAGATACATTGTGAATTATGCGATCTTGAGATCGACCAGGAAAGTACATGTGATTATATATTTCTTCTAGTTTACTGAGAGACTTTTGTCGTGTTTATACTACATTGAGAGGTCGATTGGTAATGAAGGGATCGTGACTGCATACATATAGTTTATTGAGGGGTCTTGGTCGTATTTTATAATTGATTATCAGAGGTCATGAGATCCGCTTTCGTTCACAAAGGGGGCCAAAGGCCCGTGGCTAAAGTGCTTAACTCGAGAGGTGGATTACATATTTTAGTCAGAGGGTACGTTTTTGGTGATTCACATGTGATGTGATGAGATAATGGTATAAATATTAATTGATGTCTATATTGTGATTATGAGATGATATTTAGAGTGTTATGATAATGTCTCATTTTTTGTCTATAATTGTACAAGGCTATCATTTGAAATATTAATTATATGAGCTTGATGTTCGATAAAAATGTTTAAAGGAAAAAATATGATTATTTTTGAACTCTTCCACTCACTGAGCTATCAGCTCATTTTTTTCCCACGATTTTTCTCACAAGTAGTATTGATCCTTGATAGCTTGAGGAAACTGGTGATTTCAGAGTTAGAGCCACACGACATACTAGATAATATGAGTTAATTTGATAAACCACAAAGTAAATTTTTGGGCCTATTGCACTATGTTTTTATGAACATTTGATGTTGCATATCTTGAAGTGACTTATAAATCAGTTTTGGTGATAGATTTGACATCTAGTCAGCATCTATCATCGACGTACGTCACATTTCGAGTGCAGTAGGGTGATTTGGGATGGATCGTATCAGTGTGTGTGTGTGTGTGTGTGACAAAATAAAATACATTAAAGAAATTTGTGATAAGGGTTATGCCACTTTGACATAAAAAGGGTTGATGATGAAAAGACAAGAAGTGATAGGATAAAAAAAAGTTGATTATGTTTAAACTTGTCCAATGATGAAGTGTTATGTGATATTATGTCAACCATTATATTAATTATTATGTAATTGTAACGTGATTCATGTATTAATTAGTGAAACTGAGAATTTGAGTATAATTACCAAATCCATTTTTAAGCAGATAAGCAACATTTCACAAAGCCCCTAACTACCCATTTTCTAAAATTCATTTTTCCTTTCATTTTTAACCACTTTCATGGACCACAACTTTTATTAATTTTTCAAGTACAAATTTCATCAATTTTCATCAAAATCTACTATATTTAGCTAACATTTTAACCACACACTATTTGAATTATATTTGTCATTCAGAATGTAAAATGTGTTTTGAAGTTTTAAAGCTTAATGTGATTCTTCCCATTTGAGACTTTAACTACTTGATCGGTTAAATGTTTATTATTATGATTAACGACTTTCAAATACTTGATCACACATTTACTTATTACAATATTGTACACTTGTAATAGAAAATAAACAACAACTGAGCAAGTTAATTTTCAAAAAATAATGAAGCTCCGGAGTCCGGAAAAGGCGAAGAAAGAAGCACGAGACAATATACAAAAGACAAACATGTCGAGCCAGACTGAAGACAAAATGAGCAAACGATTAGCCGACGTTGAAACCAAGAAATCATTTTCTTAATAATAATAATATTACCAATGTTTGCGTCGCATTTGATTTATGATTTGTTTTCTTCAAAGGGGTCGAAAATAAATTCTAGCACTTGTAACAATAAACCAGCATGTGTTCATATTATCATATATGGCTGCGAAATTAATTTTGTGGTGTGGATGGAGTTGGTTGGTATTAATGGCTGATCATGTCATTTGCCATTTTTATGGGTTTCATTATTATCAAGAAATTACGTTGAATCAAGTCAAGAGTGCTACATGAATT